GAGCCGATATTTTAACTGATTTTTTAAAAAATAATGGAAATAAAACCCCCAACTGCTGCACGATTCGAAACGCTGAATGATTAATTTTGTAAGAAATTAATTGACCAATAAATTTGCTTTAAGGAATTGCTCGATTAGATGGTTAATCGCTGAATTATTGAATTCTTATTGACTTTTAAAAAATCAAAAAGTAATTTGTATGGCATAAAATTAAATTCAAATATAAAAAAAAAATAATGGATTTAAGATTTGTCTTACTTAATCACATAACATTTATCATTTATTGATTGTCCATCAGAGTCCTGCATTGGGTATCCATACCCACACCCACCCATGTACCCACTCATACCCAATGGGTATGAGTATGTGTATGGGTGGGAATTGGTATGCCCATGACCTTGTAGGTGGGTATGGATGGGTACTCAACATCAGGGGATTGTTGACCTCATTTTTGTATGAGGTCACTTGGACAAATCTTGCCCCTAAATTAATTCAATTCCCAAATCAATCTAAACTCTAGGATTCTCCTAGATCCAGAGCAAAGAACTCACTTGCCATTGCCTTACGCCATTCAATGTTCTTGACAGCAGTTGTATATGTAGTGGGATCGGGTTCCCGCTGAGAAATATTGTTTAAAGTAATAAGTTTAGCTTACCCGTGGCTTGAGTGATCCGGTCTTCTGCCGCGTAATCATGGATGACATGGTTCTTGAGTAGCAGTATTTGATATTGCAGTGTTAGTAGAAGACGAGACCACATTACTTGGTATGGACACGTTGGTAGATACCGGAACTACATGACCAGGGAAAGTAGGTGTGGGTTCTATGAGATTTTGTTCGACTAGATGGCGCGAGGTAGTGTTGGATGTTCCAGCCTCCGTGGGTTGTTTGTTGACTGAACCGAGGGTGGAAGTAGGTATAAGAAGCGACGGATGGTTGAGATCGTTGATTGAAGCCTGTGGTAGTTGATCTGTTTCTGCAGAAAACGGAAACTTGTGTTCATTGAACATAACATGTCGTGACATAAAGATTTTGTGAGAAGACATATCCAGGCACTTATAACCCTTATATGTTTCAGAATATCCTAAGAAAACACAAGTTCTTGCGCGAGGTTGTAGTTTATGCCGGAGACTGGGATGAATAAATGGATAGCAGGCGCATCCAAAGGTTCTCATATATTTCCCTCTCAATCAAGAAATATCAAATACTGCTACTCAAGAACCATGTCATCCCATGATTACGCGGCAGAAGACCGGATCACTCAAGCCACGGGTAAGACTAAACTTATTACATTTAAACAATATTTCTCAGCGGGAACCCGATCCCACTACATATACAACTGCTGTAAAGAACATTGAATGGCGTAAGGCAATGGCAAGTGAGTTCTTTGCTCTCCAACAACAAGGCACTTGGACTCTAGTGGAACCACCGTCCAATGCATCTATCCTAGGATGTAAATGGACCTTTCGTACAAAATTCCATGCTGACGGGTCAATCGCCCGTTACAAAGCTCGTTTAGTCGCCCTTGGAAATCATCAAGAACAAGGCATTGACTACAATGAGACATTTAGCCCCGTCGCTAAATTACCGACCATACGCATTCTACTAAGTATAGCTCTGTACAATTCCTGGCCGGTGCAACAGCTCGATGTGGCGAACGCATTCTTGCACGGCAAGCTTCAAGAAACTGTTTACATGGCTCAACCGAAAGGCTTTGAGGATTCTACTCATCCTCATCATGTCTGCCATCTTCATAAAGCCATTTATGGTCTCCGTCAAGCTCCAAGACAGTGGTACACCACGTTCACCGCCTACCTGCTGTCTCTCGGCTTTGAACACAGCAAAGCCGATCAGTCACTGCTCATACTTCGACAAGCCGATATCCACATATTCCTTCTTGTCTATGTCGATGACATATTGGTAACAGGTAACAATTTGATTGCCATTGCACATCTACTAAGCAAATTAAGCACTCAATTTACGATGAAACAATTGGGGGAAGCAAATGAGTTCCTTGGCATTCAAATCAAGAAGGGGCCATCCAGCTATTTCTTATCGCAAGCTAACTATACGACCTCTATTCTTCAACAAGCAAATATGCTCAACTGCAATCCTCTCTCCAATCCCACGGTCACAAAAGCTTCCTGCGACGTTTCCTACTAACACCGATCTCAGCGATCCAGCTACCTACAGACGACTTACCGGTGCTTTACAGTACTTAACCATTACTCGTCCCGATATCGCTTTTAGTGTTAATCTGCTATCTCAGCATATGCACGATCCGCTTCCGCAACATGCCTTTCTTCTCAAGCGACTACTGCGATATCTCAAAGGTACGATACATTACGGATTACCCATTACCAAAACTAATCTAGTTCTTCACTCCTTTTCAGATGCGGATTGGGCAGGTGATCCGGACTCAAGAAAGTCTACATCCGGCTACTGTTCGTTTCTAGGCCAGAATCTGATTTCCTGGACAGTTAAGAAGCAACAAACAGTAGCTCGTTCTTCTACTGAATCTGAATACCGATCGCTTGCGGCACTAACCGCTGACATTATTTGGCTCAAAAGAATTTTGGCTGACTTCGGCATCCAATCTACTCACCCGACCGATTTATTTTGTGACAATACATCTGCTATAGCTCTCGCCAACAATCCGGTCTTTCATGCACGTACGAAGCACATAGAGATCGACCAACGATTTCTTCGAGAGCAAATCATCACCAACAACATTCGATTACTACCTATTAGCACAGTGGATCAGATAGCTGATATTTTAACTAAACCACTCTCAACTCCTAGATTTCATACACTTCGTCTCAAACTAAGCGTCATTCAAGACCCATTAGTTTGAAGGGGGATCTTAGAGAATGATGCCAAATAAACATTATGTGTATTTACTTTATGGCATATTTGTAATTTGCTTTGTACGGTCCTCTAGCCGAACAGGCTAGTAAGCTCTTTATATAGACAGGTTCATGTACATGTAACACAAGATTAGAAATACAATTTCTTACAGCTTTTCTCTCTGCCTGGTTTTCTTTCCCTCTCAATCAAGAATCTGTTAGAAACCCAAAGTGGGTTTTCTACAAAAAGCATAGAAAGTGGGGGACAGGTGGGTATGACATCCCGAAAGTCACCATGGGTGGGTGTGGGTGGACGAAGCTCATCCAAGTAAAGCATGGGTAGTCGATGAGTACCCAACCAAGAACCCATGTAGGGCTTTGTTGTCCATAGATATTTAGAAGTCTTAAAAGAAAAATATTTTAGTCACATTATTTATTATACTTGTGATACCTTTCTAAAAAGAGAAATATTCATGTAAATGTAATAATATTGTATATGTCTTTGAGATGTTTTTTATGAGCTTGTGCTCATTTAAATGTTATATTCTCTTGTAAGAATATTTGTGAATTTGTCCTTCAAGAGAAACCAAATTATTTATGTATATTTGAGATATGCTTTAATATATTACTCTCTAATTAGAATAAGTAGAATAGAGGAATTTATTCCTTTGGTAGCTTTTAACCTTATGAGTTCTTTAATATACATATTTCTTTTGAGACTTTTAATCTTCTAAGGTCTTTGATGTACCTATACCTTTTGAAGCTTTTATCCTTTTAAGGTCCTTGAATGAGTGGTGACATTATTAACCACTTGCTCTCATGGAGTCTTTTTAGTGAGGGCCTTGTCCACTACTAGCTTACCTTATGGGTAGGCCTTCCTGGGGTTATGAGTGGAGATCATGTCCACCATTTACCTTCATAGGATCTTTCTAGTGAGGACCTTATCCTTAGTAGCTTTCCTTTGAAACTACCTCATGGGTGCGTCTTCATGGGGTTATTTCTTAGAGTATGTCGTTAACTTGCATTAAAAGGGTAAAAAAATTCACAGGGAATATTGGACCTATTTGAGGTTATTTGTCAGAGCATTGCTACATGACGTTAACTTGTGAGAAAGTGGCTGAGAGAATCCACAAAGAATATTTTACCTATCCAAAATTATTTATCAAAGTGTTAATCAATGAAGTTAATAAAAAAAAATTGATCTCTATGGAATAGGTCGAATTGAATTCCCATGTGATTAATTATACCTTGATTGGGAGATGGTGTATGCCGTGTATACGGAATATAAGATGAAGATTGGTCTGTCTTTAAATTGTTACTACCTTTATGAGGTCGAGATTAAAATCTTACCCAAGAAGTAGAAGTCCAGTAGAGATGAAAAGCATATTATCTTGGACATTGAAAAGATTAGAAGAGTTTTTTTTGCCACAATCGCATTTGATGTTACAGCTATGATTGTCATTTTGCTGTCTTTTTGCAAAAGCACATAAATACCTAGAAAAAGTGGATTCATGATTGCATATTTGTTGTCATTTTGATGAGTATTTGCAAAAGCATAGCAAAATGACAGTAAAAGCGCAACAAATCTGGACGGTTCTCGCTGTCCTGTATCGACACAGAATAATTTGACCCGATCAAGAAGATTTTTTGTGATGTACCAATAAAAATATTTATTTGTGATAATATATATATATATAACATAAATATTTGAGGGGATTGTTCTAGAAAATTTTTCAAAGTTCAATTGATAATTATTATTTTGGATAGATTTTTTTGGGGACCGATAATAATGCACTTTATCTAACAAACTAATTAAGCCAGGTGCCCGCTAAGAATCTTAATAGTTATTATTATTTACTAAGGTCATGGATTGATAATAATATATATCAGGATATTAAAATTAATATTCAATCAAAATAAATTTTATTATTCATAAATTTATTCTAAAATTTATATAATTATTAAATATTATATCTCACAATAATTTCAACACAGTTGCAATGATAATAAAGGACATTCTGACTGAATTTCGACGTAATTTTTTTCTGGATTGAAACCTTATATAATTTGTTCTACATATCTTCGCACTGAATTTTCTTTTAAAAAGAATTATTAAGCCCGTCGGCCCCACCTGTGGCTTCGAGGAGGGGCAACAAGGTGATTTCCTCGCTCGCTCTCTGCCCCACAGGGCCCCATTTTTTTATATGAGATAAGTGGAAAGGCGAGCTTTTTAGCAGCGCCGAGCAGAGCGCTCGCTCTTGCGATGGATTTCCAGGCCAAGAGCAAGGAAGATGCCGACGCGTGGATCGGCGAAGCCGGAGAGAATGGTAGCGCCGGCCAAATTGCAGCTCTTTCTGCCGTTTCCCCTAATCGAAACCGGCTAATAATGCCGAAGCCGGAGCCCATAGAGACCATTGGTGCCCTTCCGATCATCCCGCGCGCGCTTGGCCGGACCAAAGACCGGCACACCAAGGTGGAAGGAAGGGGAAGAAGGATCCGTATGCCCGCGGCCTGCGCCGCTAGGATCTTCCAGCTCACCCGCGAACTCGGCCACAAATCCGACGGCGATACAATCCGGTGGCTCTTGCAGCACGCCGAGCCGGCCATCATCGCCGCTACAGGAACAGGAACCGTCCCCGCCATCGCAACCAATGTCAACGGAACCCTCAAAATCCCCACCCAAGCCTCCAACCCGGCCCCATCCCTATCTTCCGCCGCCGACGCTACGAAAAAGAGGAGAAAGCTGCAGCCTACGCGGGCCACGGCTGGAGGCGGTGTTATTGGGTACTTCCAGGGACCCGACCCTCTTCTCCCGCCAGGTGGAGCAATATCGATTTCGGCAAGCCTTGCGCCAGTCGCCGCCCCAAGGATGGTGCCTATGTGGACCGTCGGCGGCAGCGCCGCCGCGATTTCCCCAGGTGCGGTGTGGATGTTTCCTTCGTCAGCGGCGCCTTCAAGCCAGGGACATATATGGACTTTTCCGATGGGGTCACAGGTTGTTAATTTTGCAGCCGCGAGGCCTGTCTTCTCCGCCGCCGGCGCAGCCAGCGGAAAGCAGGAGCTGCAGTTGATGAAGGAATCTGCAGCAGATGTTGAGCAGAGCGGAGAAGAACCAGATGAAACGGTAAAAGAAGCGGCTTAGAAGCTCCATCGGAAATTTGGCTGTTTTTTTAATAGTTTGAAGTATCTTAAAATCCTGTATCCTCTAATCCTTTCTCATCCTCTCTTAATTGTTCATCCTAATTTGAGTTAGAATTTAATTAAAATCTTCTAAATTAGCGGTCAGCTGAAGAACTCGTGCTTCTTTCTGTATGTTAATAGTTAAAAAACCGATGTCCCGGTTGTCCTCTTCATTTTAACCCAACAAGCATTTAATTGGACTGACCGGGTGGTCCGGTGGCGCCCATAAGGATAGTGGGCCAAAGTAGGTGGTCCACCGGCTGGCTGTCATGTGATAGGGGCGGAAGCGGGGCCGTGTTAGGCGAGGTGTGAGGTGCGTGGGGTTCGGTACGAGTGGTGGACAGTGGGGTCCGCTTCGGTGCCGCACGAGGTCGGGGCCACAGGGAGAGGTGAGTGAATGGTGGGGCCCTCCTCACCATTTTCTGGTGAGACGGTGAGTAGGACGTGGAAGAAGAATATCCTTTCCCTCTCTTTTATCCGCATAGGGAAATTATATGGATTATAAAGATAATTGCGTGTTAAGAAAATTTAATGGATAATTAGTGAGTGGTGATCTTGAACGCTGGCGTTAACCGTCGACGGAGTCCAGAGCTTTACGCCATTTGCCTGTATCGCATGTGCTGGGTGGAGGTCAAAAGCAGCATGCTCAGCTGCAATATATAATATCTATAAGATAACGCAGCTCATTTTGATCTGTTGGTTGAGAGTTGTGACTGCCAATTAAAAATTTGAGTCTTACGTATATGATATGTGTGTGAGTCTATCTTTATTGACCTAAATGTCCAAAAAAAATATCTATATGATATGTATGATAATATGTTGCTTATAGTTCTAAAATAATTTTTTTAAAAAATTAAACATTAAAAGTATTGTCAAATATTTTTCTAAGATATTTAGGACAATTAAGACAAATTTATACGCACATCACATATATAAGATTCGAACTCAAAACCTCTTGGTTGATACTCAAAACTCTCATGGGCTATTTATGTGTGTTTAACTTGCTTTAACTAAGCCCTTTAAAGTTCCATTGTGGGTTTTGTCGTGGCAAAATTGGTGATGGGCTTTAATAGTGAAGTTTAAACTATAATGTTTCTGTTATGGATAAGCTTTTTCTAACTTTTTTAAGCACTATTTGATGGGAACGGTTCTGAGTGTGCTTTATTTTAAATATAAGAGCGTTGAAAACTAAAGTATTAGATTGGTAGAATTAAGCAAATTCAAGTTTTTTGTTAATGAGAAATTTAAAACTTATTATTATTATTATTATTATTATTTGTGTATTTAGAATTGTCCAAATAGGACAATTTTGAAATACAATGATAATAACTGCTACTAGCGAACTATTATCATGACCTTACATGATGCTGATCTTATCGATCATTGCCTTGAGTGAGCTCTGATCACGATTTTTATTTAATGGTTCATAATCCATTGAAATCAAAATAAATTATATTTAAAATTCTTCTCAATTTTAAATACTCACAACTTCTCGTTTTTGCAAAGCAATACCGAGAAAATCGCGAACATAGCATTCCCGGGTTCCGCTCCGGGTCAAGTGGGCCGCGCGGTAAAGAGTAAGAGCACGTGGCGACATGTTATTGGCGGCCGAACGTACCTCTACGTCAGATCAGAGGACGTAATAATTGTTCCTTGTGAGTGGGCTGATGAGCCACAGAAGTTGTTCCTTGCAAATGCAACATTCTCTCACACTGCCACTAAAAACATTTTGTATTGCAGCGAGTACCTGTCTTTGATGGCTGCTGATTGCTTCTATAATTGAGAATTTTATTTTTAAACATGGATTGCAATTTTTTGGCTTAACATTTTAAGAACATTTTTTTTCCCCCTCTTTTGATTTCTCTCTAAGAAATCTATGCATTTCTATTTTTTTTCTAACTTAAAAAAAAAAAAAAGATATTTTAAGGCTTGTGTGGGATCACTTTTTTTTCCATATTTATTTTAAATTATGTTTATTAAGAAAGTTTTTTTAACTATTTTTTTTCTTTTTCTTTATTTTTAAAAATAAATTATGTTATTTTTAATTTTTAAAAACAATCAAAACAAAATTGAGTATTTTTAAACCAGTTTTAAATTATGCTTTAAATTTGAACCAATTTGAGCTAGTATTTCTTGATCCAAGACGCAAAATATAATTCACAAACACAATAGGGTTAACATGATTCAACATAAACTTGTCAATCTCTTCAATTTTGAACATCAAAAGGCATAAGTTTTATTGGAGATGACTTTTTTATTGCTTCTTAAAACAACTTTTTAATAAAAAATTACAATTTTCTTAAAAAAAAAAAAAAACTGTTTTACGAGCAATAAAAAAACCATCCAAAAAACACCATACAGCCAAATTTCTCTTTAAAAGTTGCACAGTAATTCTGTAAAAAATGTGAAGACCGACCACAGTAAATAAAATAAGCAGCTGCCCACCAATTGGTTCAGAAAATCGGATGCGATCAAGAAGCCTACGCATTCGAAAAATCTTCTTGTGATAAACATAAAAAAATGCTCAACCTATGCAGTGCTGAAAATATTTCTTTTTACTCTTATTTGAACAATGCCGCATCAACATAAAATATTTGACAACTATATATTAACCTCCTTTACAAATATGACTGATACTAGTACAAGTTACAACCTTACATGTATTTATATACCACTATGGTTCGTATATTGTATCATGCACAAATGATTCCCAAAAGCAAAATTTACATCCCATTTGGCCACTTTCCTTCAGAAAATAATGGATAATTACATTTCCTAACCATTATAACCATTTTTCCTGTTAATATACAGCTCCCAGCTCCAACTGTCTTTAGGGGGATTTACACAATTATCATTAAATTCTTACATATCTATATATATATATATATATACTCCCTAATTCTTTACATGTACTTGTATAACACGAGTATCAAAGGATTTGTTTGGAACATACTTTCTAAAATAGTTTTTTAGTATAAATTTTTTTAACTAGAAAGCAGTAAAAAAGCTATCCCAAACAATACTTAAATTTCTTCAAAATATATACATGAAAATTAATGCAAGTTCTATTTCTGATGAAATTTAAATTATCAATTAGAGTGTTATGCAAGTAAATATAAAAAATTAAATATTATATATATGCAAATACATAAAAATTCAATGATATCTTTGTAAATCCCCCTTTTAAGTAGATTGGATCATATTGTAAGATTTTCTTGAATTGCAAGGAAGGACCCACAAATGTTTCCACCAACATCTGGGAATGTTTCACATCCAGCAAGGGGCTTGACCTTGCCCTTTCTATCAACATCTACAGGATACTTTAGTAGATGGCCCTTCATTTCAGTTACCTCCTCGGCCACAAACTGTCTCCAATTCATCTGGCTAAGTGCGCGGATGCGTTGCATGCACTCAAGTGTCTCTGGCCTAGAGAAGCACTCCTCAAGGGTTCCAGTGTGCTCCGCCCATAAAGACATCCTATAGCCATAAATCTGCTCATGGTAGAAATATTTTGATTCATTTTATGTGCAAGAACATCAAAAATTATAACTGGAAACATTTTGCTGAAGGAATTGAAGAGAGATGTGGGGATCGTCGGAAGAATCGAACATGCAAGAAGGGATTTTCCAATCTAGAGAACAATCACAAGCACAAAGCTTCAAAGCTTGAAAAAGGAGATTTATTCATCTAATGATCCTTTCTTTACAATATCTTGCTTATATAAGCTACTAAGAAGATTTTTAAAAAACTTGTAACAAACTAGATAAGATATTCCTAAGGCAAGCTAGGCCAAAAAATATTCAAGCCTGGAGAACTGGTCATGGTTCGCTTGATGAGAGAACGATTCCCATCCAGGTCCTACTCAAAACTAAGCCCTCAGAAGATTGGTCCAATTGCAATCAAGAATCTTGGGCTGTTTATGGGTTGATCAAGAACCTGCAGCTATTATTGAAGAATTTCAAATCCTATTCGTTTTCTTTTTTCCTCGAAATTCAGCCATAGAAATAGAGCCTAAATAAAAGAACACATCTGGATTTAAAGATTACCTCTTCTTGGGTATGCTGTGTTCGTAAGAAAAGTGGAACTGCAATTAAGTTCACATAATTTTTATTTGGATTATAAAACTGTAATCGTGATAGAGATTTTAAACTACTGCATTTCCTTTTATTCCAACTATTTATTCCTTCAACTTTGAGCCATCTTGGACAAAATAAAATATAGAAAACAAGAATGAACATCATAATGGAACTGTGTAGACCTGCAATCCTTCCGCAAAAAGAACAAAAGGATTCAGAAACCAAGTTGAATGGGTAGATGCAGTTTGCAATCATCGAATAGCAGCAATGGGTTCCAACATAACAGCGGAATAAGAATACCAATTATTGATATGAAAGTTCTTACGCAGCTTTGGAGTTCTAATTACCTGACCAGAAGGTCCAGAAGCCTTTCTTGCCCATGTATGTTGCGGTTGATAGGCACCCATTGCAATTTCCGTATCTCTAGTACCTTCAAGAGACCTCTGATTAATGTTGGCTGATCCAATAATCACATATTCATCATCAACGATCATTCCTTTGGAGTGTACATAAATCATGAAGCGTCGATTCTTCCTGGCAAGTGCCTGATCAAATATTAAAGATGTATATCTGTTAGGGGACTAATATTTTTCTTATTCCTCATTATATTAGGAGCAGCAATCCACCACTTTCTGCACAAGTTATGTAATCAGGTAGCCTCATTAACTCAAGGATTCACCCCCACCGCAATATCCCCACCGCTTACCAGGATTCAACACAATCTCATTCACCTAAAAGAATACAATACTAATTTTGTAAGCTTGTTCTGGTAAAAACAGAAATTTACAAAACGTTTATAATACAACCATGCTCAGAGACTTGATGGCACAATCAATTTATTTTGCTTGTCTCTTCTGACGGACAGGGAGCACTAGCAACTAGATAGAAGTTGGACAATTATTTTTAGAAGTATTACCCAAAGTTTATAACTTATCTAACCTGAACACAACTAGATAATGTAGCTGATGGACAAAAAGAAAAAAAAAAAAAACATATTTTAAAATATTTTTAAATTGAAAAACTCTTAGCAATATATGA